AACCTGAGATATGCTGGCCCCGACTTAGGGATGAATCAGCCTTGGAAATTATTCCAGATCTTCCATTCTGGTTTTAGCTGGGAAGTTCCTGTGGGGGCTGCTGTCACATGGGGTCCTGGGAGGTAGAAAGTCAGGTGGGTCTTGGCCAGCTAGCCGGACCCGTCTTCTGCCTGTGATTAGGGTTTATTTTTGTCGGGGTGGTGGTGTTGATGTTTCAGCACTAGGGCTTTGCTGCGCTGCCCAAGGTAGTCTTGAACTCCTGAGCCAAAGCAGTCTTCCTGTCTGGGCCTCCTAAGTAACCCAGACTCTAGGTTATTCCCAAGTTTAGTGTGTCGGCTCTGCTGTAGTCTTCTTCTAGCATAGGTTATGACAGAGCCATCCAGGGAGGGGTGTTCTGCAGTTGTCGCAGTGTTCACCACCACCAAAGCCTCCTCACTGTTCCTTCTGCTGCTGTGAGTCTGTCTTCACCATCTGGAGAATCTAGCAGGTAGTCCCTGCTCAGGACAGAGGAGCAAGGGTGCTAATCTCACTGATCACTGAGAGATAGATAGATAGATAGATAGATAGATAGATAGATAGATAGATATTTGTTTTGCTTTTTTAATTACGTTTCCCATGGTACTTTGAGGTCATAGGCGAGGAATGTTCATCCTATTTTGGCAGTTGGAGAGCTTTGAGTACCTTCCAGTTCTCATCTGAATGCCACTTTCCCTTTGGAAAAGCAACCTCTGTAGAGACCTAGCCCCCGGGGGACGCCCTGCCAAGGCACCTGGACTGGGCCTGTGGCCACACAGATGAGCGGGGTGAGCCTGGCAGTGTTGGGGGGGCAGAAGTGAATACTCCTTTCCACCTTGACTTTCACACACACTGCAGCACGACACTTCTTGAAGTTGGCCTGGCCCAGAATGTCCGTCCTTTCTCTAGGGATGATGTGTGAATGATTTGAATAGTTCTGAGTACTTCTGCTTTCTTTTTTTTGTTGGTTGTAGCCAAGCTCAGCAGTAAATCAACATTTCCCCTCCCCAGAGGCCGGGGTTGGGCTTGGGCTGCCAAGTTCTGGTGCTTGATGACCCATTATTGGGCTGCAGAGCTTGCAGAATCTCCAGCAAAATAACCCTGGGAGGAGGGCAGACTGTCTGCTGTCCCAGCTGCTGAATTCTCTGCTCAGAGACGCTGAAGCTCCACATCCTTCATGTAGACAAATATAGTGGGGAGAGGTTACAGTGAAGCCACCAGAAGGGAAACACGGACTAGGCCTCCACACAAACATGCCTTCCTTTTCTTCTCTCCATGTCACTAGTGTAAGGACCGCATGGCGCTCTCCTGAATGACTGCTTTCTTCATCAGATTCACCTCCTAGCTCTACCATTCACGAGCTCTGTGACCTCGGGCAGCTTGCCTCATGTCTGTGAACTTCAGCTACTTAATCTGCAAAATTGTAATGCCAGCCAGGCTCGGTGGCACATGCCTATAATCCCAGCACTCAGGAGGCTGAAGCAGGAGGATCATCATGAGTTTGAGGCCATCCTGGGCTATATAGTGAATTCAAAGCTAGCCTGCACTGCACAGTGAGACCCTGCCTCAAAAAAAAAAAAAAAAAAAGAAAAGAATCTTCAAGTTAAGCCTACTGCACATTCCTTTGAACACCTCCCTGAATCCCCAGCAAGGGTAAGCTGCGCTCCTCTGTGCTCCCGTCATCCATCCTGCAGGCTGCAGGTGGTCACCAGCAAATGCTTGGTGGTGCTGAAAGCCATTTGCAGGACTGTCTTTCCCAGAACAGCCTGCAGCTCTTTAAAGGTAGTGATTGTCTTCACCTGCCACTTTTAAGGTTCTAGTAGGATTCCTGGCAAGCGGGGCGCATCATCCCCAGCAAAGCTTCGCTGCTCGCTGCTTGGATGTCTCCACACGAGCCATTTCACGCTCCTCTTTGCAGTTGCTTGGGTCTGAAGTGATGAGTGCTAATGGTTCGTTTTCCCTGAAAGGACAGTTATTTTGTGTTTCATTGTTCTATCTAAAAGAAATGCTGGTTTTCATTTCACGTTTATGGAGTGCCTGGAAAACCTGTGCTTAGGTAGCTGTTTCGTATTTCTTTTTCTCACCTGCTTTCCATTTCTCATCTGCTTTATTTCTATTGCTCATCTCATCTGCCCTCTGTGGTCAAGAAATGCATGATAGGAAAGAGCCCGATGGGGCTGGTGAGATGGCTCAGTGGTCTAAAGCACCTACTTAGAACAAGCTTAGCAAAGCACAGGGACCGCTGTTCAATCCCCCAGCACCACATGCCAGCCAGCCTTGCCCCCTGGTGGGCTGAGCTGGCCACACACACACACACACACACACACACACAAATAAATAAAATAAAAGAACATTAAAAAAAATTTAAAAAAAAAAAAAAAAAGGAAAGAGTCCGATGGTGGTGTGGTCAGGGAGTCCCCAGCTCCCCCCCAGCAATTCGGCCCCCAATTGCTTGGCGATGTGGGTCTCGCTGAGGAGAGAGAACCTTCAGGGGAAGCCATACGGACTTGCCTGGCCCCGTTTCTTTCTCTTTGCTGCTGTTACCTGCAGTTCAGATGCTTCCCAGCGTCCGTGTGCTCACATCTAGCATCAGAGCTTAAGCTTCCGGGGCCCTGAGCGCTGTTGAATTCTGGATCAGGATATCTAAAATGATGGCCCGGGCCGGGGAGGTGGCTCAGTGGAATAAGCACTTCCCTGGCAAGCGCAAGGGCCTGCGTTCAATCCCCGGTTCTGCAAAAAATAAAATAAAATAAAATGATATGCCCAAAGGTGTGATGCTCCTCAGGGTGTGGTGTGTGTGTGTGTGTGTGTGTGTGTGTGCGTGTGCACACACTTGGGGCACAGGTGAGCCTGCGAATGTGTGTTCAGACCCCAGCACAACACACCTACCTGGTATCATAAATGGTCGTGCCACCAGACTTGCTTTTTGATAACAATTCTCTAAAACACATGCTAGATCTCAGTAAATGCAACAGATGCCCTGGGGCTTTGTCCTGTGTCTGTCTGTATGCATTTTTTTAAATGTATTTAGCACAGGGTCTACGGGCTCTCGCTACGCAGATCGGACTCGTAGTGACCCTCCTGTTTGCAGTCTCCCAGGTGCTGGGATTACAGGCGCCCACCAGGCCGCTCATGCATTCTTTTAAAAAGCTTTTTCTCATGCTATTGCAAAGGGGTTGAAACCCTGCACACAAGAGAAGTGCTGGCCCCAGGAACATTTTTTATACAACTTGTTTTGACACAAAAATTACTAAACTAATACCACCATTCCTTTCCTTTGGTCAGGCTTTACTGATGGACCAAAACTGAGCTGGGTGACATTGCTAGACCCCAGCATTACCTCCCAGTCGCAGGAATGTCACAGGAACCTGCTCAGCCCAGAGCATAAGACCATTCATGACCCACCCCACACTGAATTTCTGCTTCTTCTCCACCACTTGTGTCTCTCCTTGTGAAAGTCTGATAAAATCTAAACCCAAGTGCCTGTCCCTGTTCCTTAGCTGCGGCTGCTGCCCTGCCCGCCTTTCTTTATCAGGCGACTGTTATTTGCATTCTGGACTGAGTGGATACCGAGTACCTGTGTGGCAGTACACACACCTTGGTGGTGGAAACCTTACTGGACATCAGCTGTGTTTCATAACTCATATCCTGAATGTGGCCTGTACATTGGGTTAAAATAGCAGAGGGACCTGATAAGCCCGAGGCCCAGACTCGGCACACGCATACTTTAGACTCACATATGATTAAAATTGCGTTCCCTACTCATAGTAACCCTGGGGGTGGGTGTGTTCTCCTTTGTAGACCAGTCATGAGCTCCAAATGGTTGCGTAATTCTCCTAAGATCCTCAGCCAGTCTGGTGGAGGCAGAGGTCTAACCTAAGGATTTGTCTCACTCCTCACCCATGTACCATGCCATGTCACTGTAGACACACCATAGAGTCTGGTGGGTGTCCTCTAACCCAAATGGGGCCAATGACTGATAATAAGGGAGGCAAGGTACCTGTTTGGATTAAGAAAGACTCATGAGTTGGAGTCAAAGACAGCATTTGTTTGTGTTTTTATTCCATCTATCTGTAGTGGTATTCACAGATACACAAAAGAATGGCAGTACAGTAAGCATAATCCATCAGTGGTGCTCAGACCCGGGATAAAAGGTGCTGGAGCAGGGTACTCCAGAGCTTCTAGCACCACTGCACAGACGGCTGGTGTGTGCAGAGGAGAAATATGCCTTTGTGCGAGAGAGGTGGGTGGATACCTCCTTACCCACACCCCATACCTGACCCCACTCAAACCACAACAACCACATGGTAGAGGGGCCCAGCGTCACTGTTCCCTTCTGCAAAAAGTACTTGCCCAAGCTGGGCATGGTGGTATAGCCTATAATCCCAACACTCACGAGGCTGAGGCAGGAGGATCATTGTGAGTTTGAGACCGGCCTAGGCAACCGAGCAAGACTGTCTCAATAAAGCAAAAAACAAACACATAAAAGTGCTTGTCCCTGAAGCTGAGCATGGGAGACAGGCAAACCAGCCATGGCTTTGAGAGGTCAGTGGAAGAGCTGGCCTGGATCCCAGAGTGGAGTCACCAGACAGTGAGGACCTCTGCTGTGTCCCTGGTCACCAGGTCACCCCTGGCTTCCCTGTGAGTGCTGCTTAGCCCAAGCATGAGAAGAGCTACTGAAGGTCGCATTCATATCCCACTCCCCTCTGCTGTCACAGTTGCTGCTGAGGGGTACCCCGCCTCACCTAGGCCAGGGCTCAGGGGTGATCCAGGAGTAAATGTGGACATGCAGTCTTTGTTTCCTCCTATGTAGGGAAGCTCTGCCGCTCATCCCGGCATCCCTCCCACCTTTTATCAAATCCATGACCTTTGGATTTTCAGCCTGCTGTATGTTGACTTCATGGAAGTGACAGCACCTGCCTTGGAGGCCCAGCTGTGCTGCGTGTCCCTGCCACCTGTGCTTACCCTCTCTGCTTGCCTTGCAGGTTCCAGCGTGAATGGCCTGGAGGAGCCCAGCGTCGCCAAGAGGCTGCGAGGCACTCCAGAGAGGATCGAGCTGGAGAACTACCGGCGCTCTGTGAGGCGGGCAGAAGAACTGGAGGAGGTGCCTGAGGAGACGCAGGCCGAGCACAACCTGAGCAGTGTGCTGGACAAGGGCACCGAGGAGGACGTGGCCAGCAGGTCAGCTGGGCTGTGACCGAGCCCGAACCCCCACTGAATGCTCTGCAGGGTTTTTTGTTTTTGTTTTTGTTTTTCAGAACCAGGGATTGAACTCAGGCCCCTACGCTTGCCAGGCAAGTGCTTATTCCACTGAGCCATCTCCCCAGCCTCTGCAGGAGTTTGTTCTGTGTGGCATCTGCACCAGGCTGTCTAGGTCAAACCTGACCCTTCTGTTTCCAGCTGTGGAACCAACCCTAGGCACGTTACATGACTACTGTCGGCTCAGGGTCCTCACCTGTAGGGTGAAGCTAACACTGGTGCCTTCCTTACAGAACTGGTGTGCGGGTTATGTGGGCAGAAGGTGCAAAACAGTACTCAGCACAGTAAGCACTTGTGGGCTTTTGGGGTTTGTTGTTGTTGATTTGATTTGATTTGATTTGATTTTTGGTGGAGCCAGGGATTGAACTCAGACCCTTGCGCTTGCTGGAAGCACTTATTCCACTGAGCCATCTCCCCCGCCCCCTGGTTTTATTTTTTCCCAGAAGTGGGGATTGAACTATGTGATGCCCACTGCCTGTTTTTAATCTCTTATTTTGTTATTTTGAGATAGAGTCTTGGTGAGTCACTGAATTGCCCAGGCTGGGCTTGAACTTGTGCTCCTGCCTCAGACTCCCAGGGTGCTGGGATTACAGGCCTGCACCACCACACCCGGCTTACCAGTGAGTTATGTTGTGTGGTGCCCTCTGTCTCCTCACAGGAATCTGTAAAGTGGGTGAGAACATGTATTTTGTCACCTGTTGAGCAAGAAAACAGGTAGCAACTGAGATTCTACCTCAGGCTTTCTGGATCCAAACTCAGGATCTTTTCTGTTTTCCTTCCCTTCCATTGTGTCTTCTATCTGAATCAGCAGTTACAGTTACTACTAACATATCACCTTACAGATCTGCACATAAGGTAGATACCTCCCTGAACAGGGCAGGGCCAGTGAAGATCATGTCCACAAAATTTATTGAACATGGATACTGTGTCTTTAGCAGTTTATTACTCATTGAGAGGGTAACAGGAAAGACTGAAGTCACATACTGTCATTTACAAACTCATTGACTAGAAGAGAGTTTCACGCAGGGAGAAAATAGACCCAAAGCAGAGTGTCCCCAAGGGGGTGGTGTTGCAGAAGGAGCCCTGGGCTAGGGTTGGGGTAACTCGGCCCCAAGTCACTGTGCAGTCTCAAGGAAGCTCCTTACATCTCTGGTGTGTTTTCGGCTACTGCAAGTAAAGAAGGGCAGAAATCTGGGGTGTCACAGAGGCCACAGCAAGTGGGTTGTGCTCAGCTGGTTCCAGGGTTCGCTTCTAACTAAGTGATACCTTTGGGGGCTAGGCTCCTACAGGAGTCCAGCATGTTGTGTTTTCCTCAGAGCTTCCAGTGTCAGTAAGGATGGGTGTTTGCTGGCAGGGGAGGGGACAGCAAAGAAAGGCCATCCTCTGGTGTATGAGTTTCTGATTGAATGTTCATGCCAGATGCACAGCTGTGCCCCCCTCAGACCTTGTTGTGATGTCAGCACATTACCATCTGATATAAAAAGAAAAGAAAAAGAAAGAAAAAGGGCAAAATCAGCAGAGCCAGACAGTCTTGCAGATTCTCAAGCAGGAATGTTAGCTGTACCCAGACCCGTAGAGGCTTCTGGGAAACATTTGAGGGTGTCCGCCTCACATGCCAGACACTTTCACATAGTCGTAACAGAGGGCTATGTGGGGATGAAGAAAGCAGCACACTTGGGCCAGGGAGGTGGCTCGGTGGTCTAAGTGCCCTGCCTGGCAAGTGCAGGGACTGGGGTTTCATCCATGGTGGCCCCACCCTGAGGCACGCTGAGCTGGCCACTGAGACCACTGAGACAGGAGGATTGCTATGAGTTCAAACTGCATAGTGAGACCCTGAGCAAAATAAATAAATAAACCTTTAAAAAAGAAGAAAAGAAAGCAGCACGCTTCATCTCAAGGCCCTAAGAATGTTTTTCAGGGGGTGTTCGCTGGGCAGAGTTGCTGCTAGCTGCGGTCTCCTTCTGCCCTGGTGCAGACACTCCCTGGGTGAACCACTCTGGGCTGGCCCCGCAGAGAGCTCCAGCACGCATTCTGGGGCAGCTTGCCCTTGGTGCGTGCACTTCTGGAGTCTCAGTGATTGCGAGTCACCGTCACATAACTTAGCCTCACATCAGGAGCATCCATGAGATGCACCCCACCCACTACACCCAGATGGGGTGTGCCCAGCTCAGAGTGACGCGGTGGCAGGGACAGGAGCCCGTGTGTCCAGGCATGCTGGGGAAACTCTAGCTCAGAGTGGAGGGTGCATCCAAGCTCAGGGGCTGGCTGTGGCTCAGGGGCAGAGCTCTTCCTCGCGTGCACGGAAGCTGGGCTCATCCACAGCGCCACGAAAAAATAAAAATAAATTATACCAGTCAGTATCTGTAAGGTGCAACAAGTGCCTCGTCTTGTTGGATTAAAAAAAAAAAAAAAAAAAAAGGCAAGGGCCAGGGATGTACCTCAGTGGTAGAGAATTTGCCTAGTCTTATACAGGGCCTAGGGTTCGGTCCCCAGCACCACAAAAACACAAACAAAAAGTTTTAAAGGGTCTTTTTTTTTTTAATTTTAGTAAGGGTCTACAGGGTCCACAGGGTCTCACTACGGACTCGTCTTGATTCTCCTGTTTTCAGTCTCCCAAGCACTAGGATTATAGGCACATGCCACCACGCCTTTAATCCGCTGAGCTATTTGGCTGGCCCTAAAAGAGTCTTTTTAGAGAAAGGCAATAATAAGAACAACAGCAAATTTGCATCTGGTGGATACTGAGTGAAACAGTCTCTGGAAAGTAAGGAAGGCGCTTCGGGCTTGGCTGTCGCTTCCCCGGGACGCAGGCCGAGCGCTGCGTCCTGCTTCCCTGCAGCACTCCATGGGCAGACAAAGTTGAGAAGTGGCAGATGCTGAGGCCTTGTCCAGGAGCTCCCAGCCCACCGTTTCGGAGAACTCAGCACAGCCGCCTGCTGGGGAAGGCAGGGGTGGGATGTCTCAGAATCTTGAGCCCCAGACTCAAAACGCAGCAGTACTGCCTGTGCAGGAAGCCAGGAACGCAGCCCTGCTGTGCCTGTTTCTTCGTCTGCACATGGCGCTGCCCTTTGTAGCTTCACTGTGAGGATTAAGTCAGATAAGGCATCTGGCACCACCCAGGCACAGTAGTCCCTAAGAAAATGATAGCAGCAGCTGTTGCTGTTATGTCCTGTAGGTGTGCGCAGCATGCAGGTGGCGGCCGGGGATTTTTGCCTTCAGAGGTAGGGTCAGTGGCAGAAACTGGTTTTGGCCCAAAGTCACCATCCCCTGCCGCCCCAGAGATCCTGCCGAAGAGCTTCTGCTGGCCTGATCCACTGATTCCTGCACCATGGAGGAAAGCCCAGGAATTTTCGTTTTAAACAGTTCCCAGGTGCTGCTCCAAAGTTTCCAAGTTTCCCTGGCCACAAACACCACCTGGGACGCTTAGTGTAGAATTGATTCCTCGTCCATCCCCGGGGGAGTAGACAGGGAGGCCAGGAAAGTGCTTTTCCCGGACATCCTGGGCAGGTTTCCACGCCGACTCATGACGTCGTTCACACAGGCACCTGCGAGCTGAGCTGTGTCAGCGACTCTCGGCCTGGGCCCAGGCAGCTGCCTGACCTCCCTCACGGGCAAGTGGGAGCTTGTCTGCTGGAGGAGAGCCAGGAAATGGCATTTGGCTTCCTGGGGCAAGACCGAGCTGGCCAAAGACAGGAAAGAGCCAGCTCTGGGATCTCAGCGTGGCTTTTCACGACTGCCTGCTGGAAGGAATTTGCTGAGGCAAGGAGGGCAGCCTGCGCAGTGCCCCGCTGCTGGCCTTTGTGGTGTTCATGGACCTGTGGCTCTAAAGAGCCATCAGTGAGTGCTGCAGCGAGGGGTGCGTTTGCACACAGGGCAGCCTGGTCCCTTGACGTGCCAGCCCTCCATCAGAATAACTGCAAGGAAAAGTCACCCCAGAGGGCTGACTGAATCATCGGTGATTCCTGCCTGTCCCTCCCTCCTGCCTCACCCCCTTTCCCCACAGAGGCAGTAACGGGAGTGCAGGTGACAGGATGTTGGTGAGCACACATTGGATTTCCGCTGTGTGAAGACTGCCGGGCAATGTACATTTCTACCACCTGCTCAGCAGTAGTGTGTTCACAGGGTTGTCAGACAGGTGGGGCCAGGGCATGGCGGAGCAGGACAGCAGAGTGTGGTCTCTGGTTAGAAAAGTCTTATTTTGTTCTGTAAATCACCTCAGAGCTGGCGGGTACCCCCTGCAGAGCCTGCCTCGGTTCCTGTGCCTTCTGAGAGGAGATCCAGGGCTAGACCATAGCATACCTCCTGGGCTTGCTGCCCTGCATGCCAGCTCCAAACCACCCTTAGGTTGCTGGAGAACCAGTGTGGTGCTTTGTGGCTGTCACTGGGACTCTCACCCCTCCTCACGGCTGTGATGCGCCTCCTTAGGCTCCAGTCTCCTCATTCGTAAAAATGAGAATACCCTCCCCTGTCTGAAATGCTTGGAACCATTTCAGATTCCAGGGTTTTACAGAATTTGAAATGCTTCCCTTGACCTCACAGTTGGGTAATCTTGAATCCAAAACTCTAAAATCTGAAATGCTCCAAATGTTTTTGAGAATCATACTGCCATTCAGAAGCTCTCAGGCCTCCGACTTCTGAGCAAAGAATGTTCCGCTCATAATGGTAACTGTACCCTGGAGTGTAGCTGAGTGAGCGAATGCAAGGGAAATGCTTTAGTAGGGAAAAGAAAAATGAAATGAACCAAAAACAGAAAAAAGAGCAGAGGAAGAGCCACGTGCAGCAAAGTCGGTCCTTGGGCACCCTCGGCCCCCCGGCACTGTCGTCCTCCGTTGTTCATGCCCTCTTGGGCAGACCCTCCACTTGGCTTGTCTCTCTGGGGTCCTCGTTCACAAGCCTGGTATTGCTTCCTCCTGCCAGGGCTTAGTGGGAAGATCCGAAGGGAAGAACTAGGGAAGATGCCTTGAGAGGCCTAAGTGGGTATACACTGGAGCAGGGAAGGTTTGCTGCTGCAGTCTTCCTGTGGAAGTTAAGCTTCTTCTGCAGGCTCTGCCTAGCAAAGGTTCTCCCGCACTGTCACTCCAGCACCTCCGAGATCCAGGCAGGCCTTCCCTGGCCCTTGTCATGGCCCCATGCACGTTCAACCTGCCTCTGATGCGCCCTGATGTGAAAGACTCCAGAGAGAGCGCAGCCCGGTGCCTTCCCCGAGACAGCACAGAGCAGATCGGCCTCCCAGGATGCCATATGTTCCAGGGCCAAACCAGATGCCTGCTTTGAGAGGACGATAGCCTAGAGGGCCGGCTTTTCTGGCGCTCATCTCTCCTACAAGGCTATACACTGAGAAGATATCGTTTCCTCCCTAATGAGGAAGAAATTGGTTGTCTGTGTTGCCCCACACACACATAGTGATTATCCCTGATTAATAAGGGTCCAGGCTGTTGTCATGGGAGTCGACCTCTCATCCTCCCTCTACTGCACCCAGAGACTCAGAACCTGCAGGCAGCCAGGAAATGTTGGATGACAGGGAATGTTGCAGTGCTAGATCTATACAGCAAATCGTGCACAGTGTAGGCAGCCAGCCCTAGAAACTGCCCAAGTCCTATGAAAATGATGTCCTAGTGGGATGTGATGCTATGTGCCTGTAATCCCAGTACTTAAGAGGCTGAGGCAGGAGGATCACTGTGATTTTGAGGCCAGCCTGAAGTACATAGTGAAGCCCTGTCTCAAGAAGGAAAGGAGAGGACAGGACAGGACAGGACTTCCTGGGAAGGACTAGCTATCATACCTCTGGTTCTCCTTGTTCGGCATGCAGTACAGAAGGCTGGCGGGCCTATGCTGGGTCTCTAGGAGCAAGGAGCAGTCTCGGAAGTGGGCTGAGCTGGCAGCTTACGGAGAGCAGCAAGCGTGGGCCTCGCATGTCCTGTGTGCCCCACTTGCGCGGCTCCCACAGCCCTTGAGCTACCATAAAACTAGCCCGAGTGGCACTCTCAGCCATAAGTGTGCCTCACTGTCTTCATGACGGGGGATTTATTCATTGCCACACTGTGCACGGCACAAGCATGGACGCATCTTCATGAGGCCTCGCTCAGGAAGCTGCAGCAGGGTCCCTTCCAGCCGACTGAGCATGGGTAGCCTTGAACAAGATGGGGACACACTCAGCCATAGGAGAGGGAAGGGTGGCCCTCCCTCTGCCTGCCGAAGAATTAAGAAGAGCATTGAGACCTCCTTACCCTCATGTTTGAGCAGGTTAAGTGACATGAACTGGGTTATAGTCATCGATGAGAAAACGAACTAATGAAAGCACAAAGACAGAGAACTGAAAGCAGTAACGGGAGTGCTGACAACCCAGCTCCAGCTTGCTGTGGTCCAAATCCTTTTGTTCCCATTGACGCCGCCTCCTCCCAGCCCTCTGCCCACTGTGCTTCTGCTGTGCCTTGCTTCGTCTTTTCTCGCTCTGGGAATGAGGATCTCTCCTAGATCACCTTCATGTTCTGTATGATATTTAATAAGTATGCTGTAGATACAAGACACCCAGTTTCTCTTGGGTGAATGAGTGAATAAGTGAATGAATGGATGGGGTGAGAGTTGGGAATACAGAGCCAGTCCTTTCTGTCTCTTACGTCCCCTGGCTCAGCCTTAGTGAGTGCTCAGAAATGCTTACTGAATGAATGAATGACTATATAGGTGAGTCAGTGAGCCAGTGAAGAGCTAGGACCCCCAAGTATAACACATGTCTGATGAGAGTAGGTGGCCCCAATGTCCACAGCACTCCCGTGAAGCAAGTGTTGCCTGAGCTCCTAACTCAGCGCTCTGGTAACCGTTATCACCAGAAAGCTGAGCCACTATGGCCCTGGGAGGGGACGGCCTGGCCCTGGGAAGATGAAGGCAAGGAGGGAGGCACCTATGGCAGAGTCTAGGAAACTGCCCAACTTGGAGCTTCCGTTGTCCGGCGCTAGTGCACTCAGACAACACTGCTTTCCTGGTATCAGTGGGTGACAGTACACACAGATTATCACTCATAGCAGCCTGTGTGTCTGGAGTTTTTATTAGGACTGTTATTAGCCTCAATTATTACACAGGCAGTGAGCTGGCTGAGTCATAGTCCAGTGGTTGATCTCAGTCTCCAGGTCACCCAGTACTGAGTGACCCAGACCCCTAAATCATGTCCTTGAGCTTTCTGGTTTGCCAGCTCCCACATAAAGACCTGAGTCTCATTATTAGACTCTCCACCCCAGGCCCCAGGCAGACAAAGACCCACTTTACTGTGGTCTCAGGAGAACATCCTGGGAGCTTAGAGTTTCTCTCCCTGAAGTCAAGGATAAGGCCAAAGTCAGACCTCTCTTTGAGCAAGGTTAGGTTCTTCCCTGTACAGCACTATAGCATGCAGAGTAACTGTGCCATCCATTGCAGTGTGTACACTGGCTGGCGCTCTCCCACAGCCAGGTGGGCTGGGAGGAAGCCTGCCCTGGGTAGGAGAGGACCCCACCTTCCCAGGAAGTTGGGGCTAGGCCTGGCGCTCCATCGTGCAGGGCTTGGTCCCGTGCTTTACTGTGAAAGCCACAGCTTCTCTAGCCCGGCCCAGTGTACACTTCTCCCAGAGGGCAAAGATGCTTTGGAAATTGCAAGACAATTGAGCTTCTCCAAGGGAGCCCTCTGCACTAAAGGGGGGATTTTATTCATAGCCTGCCTGCCTTACTTCTTCCCTCTGCGTGGCTGGGAAGAGGGGTCCTAGAAGGTAGAGGTTGGATTTTGGCTTCCTTAAATTCTCGAGTGCAGTGCAGTCTCTGGGCCGAGCTGGCCGTGGGCTGGGAGGGCACAGGTGTGCAGAGTGTAGCTGCCGTGCCCGTCAGGTGTGGTAACCCCTGTGTGAAGGGCCTTTCCCAGTGGCTCTGTGCCATGGCTCTGCAGTGGGCCAGGCCTCACCTGCCACTTACCTGTGTGTGGCCTGTGTGTGGCCCACGAGTCCCAGCAGCCCGGCAATCCATCAGCTACTTCCTCCAGCCCTGGCCTGGAGTGCTGGTTGCTCTTGCAGCTCTTTCTCTGTCCCCACCAGGCCCATGTTCTCCCAAGAAGCCACTGAGTGACCTGAGTAGAGTAGAATTGACATCTTCAAATGGCTCAGGGTAGAGGAGGATTTTCTCTACACTCTCGGTGCTTAGGATTATGGATTTATAGCAAGACTAGTGCATTACCTTTGCTCTGTCCGTGAGGCCCTCTGTGAACCCCAACTCCAGGGTCACAGTGTTCTCCGGGCCGTAGGCCTGCACGGGTGCCTGTAGGTGCTCACTTGGGTGTGTGTCATCCTGTTCCATCACCCTCTTCCTGGGCAGGGAGGACTGTGCTCAGCAGGCGCCTTGCGGAGATGCTGTGCTCTGAACCATCCTTCCCCTGTCCACATTCCATCCTTCCTCACTTGGCTGTGTGGTTGCTTTTGACAGCAGTTCTGAGTCGGAGATGGAGGAGGAGGAGGAGGAAGAGGAGGAGGAAGGCCAGCTGCCCCCTTCTGACCTGGGCGGTGTTCCTTGGAAGGAGGCTGTGCGGATCCACGCCCTTCTGAAAGGAAGGAGTGAAGAGGAGCTGGAGGCCTCCAAGGGCTTCGAGGCTGGGGAGGAGGAAGAGGAGGAATACGAAGAGGAGGAGGAGGAATACGAGGAGGAGGAGGAGGAAGAGGAGGAGGAAGCATCTAGTGAAGGTCAGAGAAAAGCCTCTCCTGCCAGCCCTGACCTTGTCCCGTGTGCGTGCTGGAGGTTTCCTTGGCTCAGTCACGAAGGCGCCTCCTTCGGAGCTGAGACCTCATCTCCCGGCCCTGGGTGCAGGGCAGACCATGCGGTGGGAATAATACCTTTTGTTCACACTGTTGTTTCTTATTAGAAGCAGAGCTCAGGGGCCAGTCCAAAGGCTGGGTTCTAATTAGGTTATACATTCCTGTCTTCTCGTTTTCTCTTTTCCCTTTAATCTCGGTTAGAGAAATTAGAGTGAAGCAAGGAAACTGAGCTCTCTGGGGGAGGCTCTGATTCCCGGTCTTGGATGGCAGAGGCTGCTGGGAGCTTAGCTGCCCAGTGCATGGGGCTCCCTTGATGATGCTCAGAGGAATGTTGGGGCCCGGAGTCCTGGAGGAGCTGGGGTTCACTAGTCAGTCGGTTTAGTTGTTCTGAAAGACTCTTGCCTGGGAGTTCTTGGTTCTGTACCTCTCTCTGGGTCTGTGACCTCCAGTGACAAGGAAGCAAATTTCTGGCCCCCCCCTCCGTGCCTGTGTAGAAAAGATGACCCTTCTTCCTTGTCCTCTCCCCAGGGGCCCATGGGAGGTGAGGATGGAACCAAGGCAAGTGGAGACCGGACTCCCCAGACAAGGGCCTTGCTCCGTCTCTGGAGGGCACAGAGCTGGGAGTGAGGACTCACTCGGGCCTTTGCCTTCTGAGCTTCGCTTCCCGCTGTCTGGGGACAGGGAGCAGGCTAATACTGGACTGCACAGGAGACGTGGCACGTGGTTGCCCTGCTGCCCCAGGCTTTTCTTTGCATTTCCTGGAATTTGCCACACTTGCTGCCCAAGCTGAGCCCAAGGGCTCTTTCCTCTGGCACCATAAGGCCCATACCTTCCCAGACTCGGGGTTCTTGTCCCCGAGCCCCTCAGTGGAGAACGGTGGGGCCTCAAGACACTAGTCCTGACGAGGCAAGGTGGAAGGAAACAAAGCATGCCTGACCGTGGCGTGGACCCTGGGAATTGGTCTGAGTGGTCCAAGGTCAGAGCATATCCTCAGAAGCTTCTAGAAAGCTCCCCTGCGGAGCCTCTCTCCCCTCCAAAGGTGGAGGCCAAAGCTGATACAGGTGTGGTGGCTTGTGCTCCTGCCAGTCAGGAGACATAAGTAGGGTCTATGTGAGGCGCTCCAGATCCTGGCTACCTATGTCCCTGCTGTCAGAGACACTAGCCTGTTCATATTATCCCAGAAGTCATCTCCACGTGGCCATTAATGCTGAGAGGCTCTTGCCCTGACACAGCTTAGGGTCCGAGCCTGCTAGCTCCCCCTGTAGGAGCGTTTAGCCAGCTTCCTCTCCTGAAGGCAGCTTCCTAGTCTTGGACCTAAGGGCAAGACCAAGCCTGTAGGGAACAGGGCCTCAGCTAGAGAAATACGTAAGGACAAATTCAGCCCAGTTCTGAACATTACTAGGTGGGACCAGTGTTCCTATCCTGGAGTGTATGCTGTCTTCCAAGCAGCAGACGTTGACACTGTAGGCAGCAGTAGACACTGTTGCCTCGCTGCTAAAGATAACACCATCTCTTGTCTTTCCTCCCCTCCACTCCCTTTTTTCTCCTTTTGTGCCCCTGTGGGATTCTTGATGCCGTTTGTGGGTGTCGGGCTCCCCCTGCTGTAGAAGGGGAGTATTGCCCCTGGGACAGAGAACTCCTGCAAAGCCAGTGGCTCCAGCATCTCTCAAAGGAAGAAGAAACGGGTACACGTAAAGGTACCCACTTTGCCCCCACCCACCTTTACCCTAGCTCCCTAGCAATCCTAAATATGCCTCCAAGAGCAGGTCCCACGTGAAAAGAGCTGCGTCACAGAACTGCTCCCCAGGCTTAACCTCCCCTGGCTGGGTACGTCCCCGGGCCCAGCATTCCCAGGCAAAGCAGAGCGGAGCCTGTGGGCAGCAGAGGTTCAAGAGGAGCCACAGAGGAGTTCAGGAGAGCGTGTGGCATGCGGCCTCCTCTCCATGCTCTAGCTTTTACTGCAAGTTCTTATCAGCTAAAAGCCAGCTTCTGTACTGCAGAAGGCCCCGGGCATGGCCACAGCTCTCCCATCACCTTCACAGGTGCCTTTAGCCTTCCCCAGAGAAGAAAGAGAGGTGGGCTTCATGCCATCGCCAAGTCCGCAGGGCTGCGGTGTTAACTGAAAGCAGAGCACTGCACCTGGAGGAGGCTGGCTCTCTTGTTGCTTAGAAGGTAAAGAAAGGCCCTGCCTTTCTCTCTCTCTGACCTACCTTCCCCATCCTAAGATGCCCAGGCTCCCGGGTGACTTTGCTGTGACCCAGGGGTGTCTAGCACCATAAAGACATGTCAGTCAGTCTTGGCAACAGTGCACAAGCGTGTGACGACCTGCAGTAAGGAGCCCGTGAGAGGTCAGCGTCCTCACGTGGCAGAAGGCAGCTGGCATCCACGCTGAGGCTTTCACTGGCACCCACCACCCATATAGCTTCCCCTTGCTCCACCTAAGAGGTTGTCGTCATAGTGAGTTACGCTAGGAAGCCAGGCTGCCCAGTCAGGTTGCTGAGGGAAGGAGAACATACGCTCCCATATGGAAGAGGCCCCTGCGGGAAGCCCAGAGCCCCTCAGATCCGGTGGCACCTGCTCTTGCTGTCTAAACAGCCACCCTCCTTCCTACATAGCATTCCCTCCCCACCCCCCGGTCACTGGCTGCCTCCTTTATCTTAACCCAACTGTGTGGCACGATCCGAGCACTAATGACAGGGACCCACAGAGCAGGGGCTGCACGCCAGTTCCATGGGCTCGTCCTGACAACAAGAATAAGTAGAAGGGACTGCTGGTGGGTTTGTGTCTAGCTGAGGGGCCAGGTCTCCTGTCCAGAGAGCTCAACAGCACACCAAATGAAACTGTAGGGAAGAAGGCTTTGCTCACAGAAGAAGCAGAGGCATGTCTCGGAACTCCACAAATTGGGAGTTTTACAGCTAGAGTTCCGCTTCCTCTCCCAGCCTCTGCCTTCCACACTCCTGCGACATGTCCCTGTCCCAAACCTGGCATGCAGCATGAAGCTTCTCAGGGAAGGGTGACTTTCTCTCTAGTAGAAATTCTTGCTGCATAAGCTCCACACTAAAAGCCAACGGAGTACACCTAAGCTGGTTGGCTGAGAGCACAAAGGCACTGTCCTGTCGCACCTCTCTTGTCACTTGTCAAGGAGAAGCTGTCGGCCTGGCAAGTGGTGGTAAGCATCTGCCTTATGAAAAGAGCCACAGTGATGTGTCCTGCAGGTCTCATGCCCTGCGAGTAACAGCTCTGTCCTCGGGACCCCTGGAGGTGGCCCCCAGAGGCCAGTTATGATCTGCTCTTGGCACTTGGGTCCCTCAGACACACCTGAGGATGCAAAGAGCTCAGAATCTGTATTTGGACGTGGACTATGCAGTTGTCTTTATTGAAATTAATAGTATATAGTGAGCTAAAATGACTAAATCCGACAATGAGAAGTATGTGCGTGCACACGTGCGCGTGTGTGTCTCAGCACATGGTCTCACTTTTTAATCTCTTTCTGATGCGTATTGCTCCTGGCAAGTACTGTAACTTTGCTATTTCCTTTCCTCCGGTGTTTCCTCCCCTCCGCTCCCTGCTGTTTATGTTCTCGCTCCACTGTCTCTGTCCTCTGCTCCATCCTTTGAACCTGGTCACTAGCCGGGAACCACAGGCTACAGCAGATCATAAATCCGGAGGATCCCTTGGCGATCCAGGCCGATGTGCACTGGACACACATTCGGGAGAAGGAGGAGGAGGAGAGGATGGTCCCAACCTCCGAGTCCTCCACTTCTAGAGGTAACTTCCCAGAGACACAAGCAGGCCCCAGTGGTCCTCAAGCTCCGTCCCCTCCCACGACTGCAGAGGACCTTGCTGCCCGTGCAAGCCGCCAGCTTGGTCAGCAGCCAGCCACAGAATAGTGCGTTTTCCTGATTTAACGCAATGGCCACCCTGGCCTCTGCTTCTGGGATATGTAAAGTTCTTTATGGAATAAGAGGTTTCAGTCTGTCTCCACTGATGCAAACAGTAACACAAAGCTGACCCGGGGAACAGTGGGCACTTGCTTGCTGTCCCGCGTAACCCATGGCACACTCTTGTTGTCCCTGCAGAGGTGCTGGTGCTTTCCCATGGGCTGGGCCTGAGGTGACCATGTGTAGCAGGCAGGGGAGGGCGCCACTTGCGGAAGTGAAGTCAGCAGAGCTGTGCAGGAGGCTCAGAAGCCTCCGTGTGGTTTCCAACTGTAGGTTTCAGTTGAGGTCTGTGTTCGCCCATCAGGTGAAAATGTGCCTCACTCAGGCTTGTTTTCGGGAGTGGCAATGAAGGATGAAAGAGTCTGTGGGGGCCGCGGGGCTGCGTGGTCTCGGCTCCACATCTTGTAGTTGCACGCCGTTGGGGTCGACACCCTCTTACATACCCCTCCCTGGGTTCGAGTATTCCCAGGGTGTTTACAGAAGAGTGCTTCCTGCCCTGGGAAGGACACGCCTCCTCTCATGGGACATTTCCTCCTTGCAGCCCCACATCTTCCAGCAGGCAAGACCAGCCTCCAAGATTGCTTTTACAGCTCTGTGCAGAGGGTGGCAAGAGAGGCGCTGCTGGAGCAGGACAGCACTGCCACCCTCCCAGGGGCTTCCCTCCTCTCTCCCTGCCCTGAGTGCCCGCCTCACAGGTTCACAGTGGATCATCATCCCTTGTTGGTGCCAGACAGGCCTGTGTTCGTGACAGCATCTCCCGTTTGGACATCAGGATTGCCTCAGCTCTCTTGCCTGGGAGCGCTTACTGCTGTGTAACTCTGTATTTATCATCTGTTTTACATCCAGCACCCGGCCTCCCCTCTATACGCCGCGCAGCAGTGCAGGCCTGGCTGGAGACGGTCTCTGGAGGTAGTCTGGTGATGCTGGGTGTCCCCCACTCACAGTAACCTCTCTTCCTAGGTGGCTCTGCTGGTGCCTTAACACTAGCCCCCGGTCCTGCCGCAGGTGCATGTGAGGGCGGAGCCAGAGGCGGGGGTGGGGCACTGCATGCCTTACGGGGCAGCCTTCCTGCATGGGCCAGAAGCGCCTCCCACTCCCTGAGCCACAGAGAAGGACAGACACAGCCTTCTTTCTATTCTTTTTTTTTTTTTTTTTTTTTTTTTTAATTTTAGGGAAGGGTCTACAGGGTGTTCAGGGTCTCACTACTAGATCAGACTCCTAGTGATCTGCCTGTTTACAGCCTCCCAAGAGCTGGGATTATAGGCGCATGCCACCACGCCCAGTCTCAATTGCTGTCTCAGCGTGCCCCGGGGACGGGGCCAACAGGGCAGGCCCAGGGATGGACCCCCGACCCCTGCGCCCGCTTACAGGCACTTTAATCCTCTGAGCTTTGACCAGCCTTTTCTTCCTATTCATAAAGCTTGGGGTAGAGGCTTTTTGCACAAATTAGTGTGAAAGCAAGAAGAATCAGACAGACCAATCAAAGTATCAGAGAAGAAAGTAGGCAGAACTCAGAGATGTGTAGTGGGAACTGGCCAGGGAAGCGGGCAGGCAGAACTGGGTCTCCAGACTGAGGAGAGTCTCTAAGCACTTACACCAAAGGGTAATCCAGAAACCTTTTTTGTCTTAGATCTTTCTGGAAATATGTTCTTCCATGAAGAACTGCTGGCGTTTTGGGCAGGTGATGGTTCCAGGCAGCATGACCAGGGTCTTCTGCCTTGTCCACGTTGTACGCTGCCCATGCCCACCCCAGTCACGGTGACAGCAGAGTGCTGTCACCCTGTGTGCATTCGCAAGCTCTGCCTTGAAATGAAAGCGTGGCATTGCCTCCTGCCTGGGATCCTCCTGGGACAGACTGGCCTGTGTGGGTCTCTACCACCAGGCGCCTCCCAGCGCAGCCTGCTGTCCTCAGCAGTGGCAGGAGTAGCACCCTCAGGGTGGGATGAGGCATCACAGGCCACAGGAGAGGGAGCGCCACGGGTGCGCAGCCGAGCTGGCCCTGAGCCATCAACCCCAGGACAGAAACGGCTGAGACCTAGTTAGTGTGCACCCAATGGTGGGCGGGGGGGGGGGTACTTCCCAGCTGGCCGCTGCGGTAGGATCTGTCCCTGGCTTTCAAGGCGTGTGGCCGCTTCGAGCACTCCACGCCGCGTCCTAACCTGGATTTCATCCCTAGTCCGCTGCTCAGGCTGCAGTCTCCTTGAGCATCTGCCGCTGCCGCCGCCGCCGCCACCGCCGCCACCGCCGCCGCTGCTGCATCAGTAGTTCTTCTGCTTGTTTCTTGATACGTGTGATAATCATTCTTTTCAAGGTCCTTGAGGAACGTTCCCCTGACACACACACCCCTCTGGCTCTACAGCAGACATTGCTTAGAAAGTCCAAACAGGAGAACCGGTGAAGGACCAAGAGCCCGGGACAGGCACAGGCTAGCCCAGGGACAGACTGGGGGGGTCCTGGCAGGGTTCTCTTGCAGCCAGGGAGAGTGTGAGGTGACCACCTCCACACCAGCACTCTCTGAGTCATTCACAAAAACATGTCAGGCGCAGAACCCTGAGTCCAGAGGAGGAGCTCTGCTTACTGTGGCCCACCAGGTCTTTAATGCTCACACACGGTAGACTACCATGATGAGCTTGCTGTCCACATGCGAAGCCCAAGTCTGACGAGAGGTCCGTGGACCACTGCTGCGTTTGGTGGGGCTCTCACTTGCCCTGCTTAGAAGTCCTGCTCCCCGTGCTTGGTGAACTGTCTTCTATGCGTGGCCAAGAGCAGGGTGGTCACTCAGAGGCTTTAACCTGTGGAAATGGCTGGGCGTGGTGGTGCACATCTGTAATTCCAGCACTCAGAGGCTGAGGCAGGAAGATTGCTGCTAGTTCGAGGCCAGCCTGGGCTACATAGTTCAAGGCAAGCCTGTGGAAATAACTGGCTGGTCTCCCCAGGTGTTTCCTCAGCAGATGCTGTTAATGTAGGAGACAGGTGTGGCATGAATCATTCACCAACCCAGGATGCAGCCTGAAGCACATCCATCTGTCCCTGAGCCCTAGACTGTCTGATACATCCCAAACTTTGTATAAGTCCTCCAGAAACTAGATTCAAACCAGCATCTTGCGTGTTGTGCATAAAAAGATAGGAATATGGGTCAAGGAATTAATTTTAGGGTTTGTTTGTTCGAGACATGCAGTTCCGGTTGGCATCGAACTCACTGGATAGCCAGCTGGTCTGGAACTTGCAGCAGTCCTCCTGCTTCAGCCTCCTTTGCTAGAGTTACAGGCATACACTTCCACACCCAGTTTAAGGAATGTTAAAGCAATAGAAACTTGCCTACCTGGCATCTAGGTTAGAAGACAGTGCCAGCGTCTTAGAGATACCCTTTCTAGTCAGTCTTCCCCCTGCTCCTCCCAAAGCAAGTCCCTCTATGGGTTTCATCATAGTCCGGCCTCAGGGGCGCCTGCACCAGTGCCCCGCGTGGTGCCCTTGCCCCAGTGCTGGCTGGAGGCAGTGGTGAGGCTGGCTGCAGCGAAGACACTGCTCTGTGGGACAGCTGGCCGTGCGTTATGTGACTTGCCCACCCCCACTTTCAGGGCAGCTTTCTAAGAAATTCCCCCAGAGTTAAGTACTCCTGTGTCTTTGGCGTGTAATTCATTTTATGTTGGGTTTTTTTTCCTTTGTTTAAAAAGTAAGAGGGGCTGGAGTTCAGCCGTGGAGCTCTTCCTGGCATGTGTGCGGCCCAGGCCTCCATCCCCGCAAAGGAAAAGAAAGAGCACCAGAGAGAGAGAGAAAGGAAAGAAAGGGACAGACAGACTGGCTGCAGCCAGTTCCTCAGTGCCTGTCAGGCCTCGGGTCTCAGAACCTGCTTCCTGAAATGAACCTGAGTGAGAGGCTGGAGGGTGGCTCTGCTTGGCCCTCAAAAGGAAGCCACAGAGCCCTGCTGTCTCCCCCGGCGCTCGCAGCCCAAACGCTCGGGAACGGAGGCCACACAACCTGGCGGGGGTGCTCCCAGCCTCCTTTGGCAGCACTGGAAGATTCCTCTTGAGTCCAGAAAAGGAACTTTACATATCCTCTTGGTCCCACCCTACAGGCTTTGGCCGAACATTGCTCCACGTTCTCAAGAGAAACCTCTGCCAGCCATGGGAAGGGGAGGGCCCCGGGTCCCACAGTCCCCAGTGCCACTCCAGGGGGTCCCACAGTCCCCAGTATGACTTCAGGCTAAGCAGTTTGACCCCAAATGCGTCAGCCAGACACTCAGGGCTGGGCTGCAGAACTGTCATTAAGGGACTGAATGACCCCTGCAGGCCTGGGAAGGGGGCGGCTGGGCACCTTATGGGTCTGGCCTGGCCTAGGCAGAAGCACCCTTCCCTGCCCTCTCCCCAGCCTGCTCCAACAGAGAGGCCCTGGGCCCTTTCAGCCCCCACTCTGCTGCCAGAGCACCCCAAGCCTGTTCCGGTGGCTCTCACATGACCACCGATTGTGTGTCTGTCTGTCTGCCTGCTTTTTTCTTCCTTCTCCTTGACTGTCTCTGCTTTGCAGTCCCCTTGGATGAGGACGACCTGGAGGAAGATGAGGACTCAGAACCAGCCGAAATAGAAGGGGAGGCAGCAGAGGATGGGGACCCAGGGGACACGGGTGCTGAACTGGATGACGGTAGGGGCCCTGACCACCCTTCCCCACCTGGTGACCTCCTCTGTTCCCTGCAGGGACACAGCCATGGGTGCTTAGAACTCAGAAAAGAGTCAAAACAATCTACTTTAAAGCAGAATCTCAGGCAAAGTGTGTCAGTCAGGAGTTACTCTTTTTCTGCCAGTGAGCAAGTTTCATCCCCCCCCTCCGCCCCCATCCCCCGAAACCACCAGGTGTGTCCTGCAGGTGTAGTGCTGCAATTGAGAGCCCAGCGAATCTCAGACCTTTGCAGGGTCTTAAATCCAATGATGACTCTCACAGCAAGAGACAAGGACATTTTAAGAATGACTGTCTTGATGGTGAGCAAAGAACGGCATGAACCGGGCTGAATGAAAACAAGAATAGAAGTAGAGATGACACAGTGAGGGTGCAGGCCTCAGCTGCAGGGTGCAGCTGTGGGTTGCGCGTTGGTGAGGGAGAGCAGAGAGAAATCGGCAGCAGGCATAGCCGGAGTTGCTCCTCATGTCATATGTCATGGTCCTCGTACCTAAAAACTAAACAGCACCACAGGTTGTGGGAGACTCCATGCTGCAGAGGCCACTGCTTTTCACGTCAGGAGGGTGCTTTAGCTGGGTGGCCCAGGAGACAGGTGGCCCAGCAGGCAGGGTCTGTCACCAGGTAAGAGGCTGGGCTCACCAGGACCACAGGACATAGTCTGGACCTTGAGCTCAGGCACTGCAGCCCATTGATGCACTCCAAAGAAAGAATAAACAGGAGGGGCACAGTTGGCTTACTGGGCACACCAATTGTGTCCCCTGCCTCCCCAGATCAGCACTGGTCTGATGACATCCCATCAGATGCTGAAACAGAGCTTCGATTGCGGCGCCAGGCTGAAGTGGAAGCAGAGCTAGAGCTGAGGGTGTCAGAAAATGAGGAGGAGGAGGAGCCACCTGCCTTACAGAAGCAGCAGGAGAGAGGTAGGCCCCCTGCCACCGCTTCCAGAAGGTTCCAGAAGGCACACCAAGGCACAGGGTCCCCTCCTCACTGTCCTGCCTCTCCCTCTCTCTTTCCCACTGTCCAGGGATACTGCAAGTGATTTTATACAGTAGCTCCTTTCCTTTCATCCTTGAGAACTGGCTTTTCTATACCACAGGCTAACAACAATACCAACAGGGTGACACATGGTGAAGAACCTTCCAGGAGTGTGCTCCACTTCCAAGGACAGGGAGGACAGGCCCAGGCATGCCATGGAGTTGGCTCTATGGCTCCACTGTTTTCCTCCCGCCATGGCACGTGCTGGCTGCTATGTGACACCCTCCAGGAGCTGTCTGGGGCTCTGTGACCAGAGCCCATGGGGCCATGGGCTGTTGTGATCTCTGTTTTCTTCTTTGCAGATCCCTCCCAGGCCCCGAGCCCCACCTGGTCCCCTCAGGAGCAAGCTGTTCTCTACACTCCGGCCCACAGCCCTGTGACAGAGGTGAGGGTTGGGCACTCATGGGAATAGAAGCTGAGGAGACTTAGTGAAGCTTGTCTGGGGACCAGGTGTTCGCCCCTGCAGAGTGAAGGCTACCAGACTTAGCCTGAGGAAAACTAAACCTTTGTTCTCTTGTGCTAAGTAGAATGGCAGGAGGGTCTTAGGGGTTCTAGCTTAGACCTCCCAGATAGACAAATTTTTTTCTAAACTGAAGCAATAATATTTATGGAATCGGGTTTGTTTTGGCAGATATATTTTCCTTAATGTTAGAACAACTATAAAACTATTTAAAATTTAAAGTATGCCTCCAGAGTGCCACTATTGCATGAAACCACAGCAGAAAACTCTGTGTAGAAACCCCAGATGGCATCCCATGCAGCAGGTCTGGGCAGTGCCATCCCAAGGGCAGGTCAGAGAGGAAGCCCTTCATCTGGGGGCCAGCGTGGCACAACTCAGGTCGTCTGTCCGTACAGTGGGGGACTTTATCTTTTGGTTTCATTTGGATTAGGTTGGTTTGGGGCTTATTTGTTGTTATTTTTTGGTGTGTTTGTTTGTTTGTTTGTTTGGAGCAGAGTCTCACCATGTAGTCTAGGCTGGCCTTGGACTCCCCTTTGTAGCCCAGGCTGGCCTTGAACTCTTGGTGATCTTCCTGCCTCTGCCTACTAGTGCCAGGGTTGCAGGCATGCGCTATGAAGCCCAAAAAAACTATCTTACCGAGATGCTGCAGTGGATAACAGAAGGGATGACCTGTGAGCATCTTTGAGGTTCCTGGGAAAGATACTGTAGTCAGTAACTGAAATCTTCCTGCAGTGCTGGGCACTGTGTGGTACCTCAGGGGTGTGGGCCTTGGGAATTGTGGGCTGGAGTGAAAGCGAGTTCATTAGTATCCTTCAGACAGTGTTCATTTCAGTAGACAAAGAATGTAGGTTGTGTTTGGGATGAAGCAAACCCTGAAAGCCCAGTCAGTTCATCTAGGCTAAGTAGAGGGGTTCTAAGTATTGAACAAATAGAGCAGAAGATGAAGTTTCTCCCTGAGCCGAATAATGGCTACAAGAACAAGAGAGAAATTTGTTTCAACATGCTGAGTCCTTTGAGAGCAGACGCTGCCTGGGGCATGCATGTTTTACCCACTGATGCCTTCCTCCTCATGACATTTCTCTTCCACCTCTGTAGGGGGCGCAAGTCCCACTAGCCTCTGTCACCAACAAGGTAAAATCCCCTGAGGAGCCCCTCTTCCCTGCACCTCTGCTGCCCCAGGAGAAGCCCAAGGCTGAATCCCCCGTGGACCAGCACGCTGCGAGCTCTCCCCTGAGCTCCCCTATCCGGTCACAGCCGGTGGCTCTGCCTGAAGCCAGGACGCCTACCTCACCGGTCAGCTTGCGGCTCACGCCCGTGGCCCCCTCAGTACCCCCCTCCGCTCAGCTTCCTATTTGCTCCCAGCCTCAGCCTTCCACAGAGGCCACCATCCCATCCCCCACCGAGTCCCCCATCCGCTTCCAGCCCATTCCTGCAAAAGCATCCACACCCCTGGCTCCGCTGCCCACGAAGAGCCAGGGTGACCCCAAGGACAAGCTGGGCAGCCCTCTCGTGGTGGAGGAAGCTCTGAAACGCAGCGACCTGGTGGAGGAGTTCTGGATGAAGAGCGCTGAGATCCGCCGCAGCCTGGGGCTCACGCCTGTGCCCCGGCACAAGGGGCCCGAGCCCAGCCTCCCCCTGCCTGCCATCAAGCCGCTGTCCCTCAAATCCTACTCGGTGGAGAAGTCCCCTCAGGACGAGGGTCTCCGCCTTCTGAAGCCATCACCTGTTCCCAAAAGGCTAGGCCTGCCCAGGTCTGACGGCGGCGAGCCGTTCTCCCTGCCTACTCCCAAGTCGCCGCCGGACCGGGAACTGAGAAGCTCCCAGGAAGAGCGCAGGGACTTATCCAGCAGCTCCGGCCTGGGCCTCCACGGCAGCTCCTCCAACATGAAGACCTTGGGCAGCCAGAGCTTCAACACCTCGGACTCCACCATGCTCACGCCGCCTTCCAGCCCGCCCCCGCCCCCGCCCCCCGACGAGGAGCCCGCCACCCTGCGCAGGAAGCCGGAGTCCAGGGAGGCCGATGCCCTGGCCTCTGTCGTGCCCCCGCCCCCGCCCCCGCCCAGCTTCATGCGGCCCCCTCGGGAGCCGGCCCAGCCCACCAGGGAGGAGGTTCGCAAGTCATTCGTGGAGAGTGTGGATGAGATCCCCTTTGCGGATGATGTGGAGGACACGTACGATGACAAGACTGAGGACTCCAGCCTGCAGGAGAGGTTCTTTACGCCCCCCTCCTGCTGGTCTCATCCAGAGAGGCCACCCCACCCACCGCTGGCCAAGGAGAACGGGAGGCTGCCTGTACTGGAGTGCGACAGCCAGATACAGAAAAGAGGGCTCTTCTGGGTCTCCCCGGAGGCCAAGGAGCTGGCGGAGGAGCGCATGCGAGCCCGGGAGAAGTCTGTGAAGAGCCAGGCGCTGAGAGACGCCATGGCCAAGCAGCTAAGCCGGATGCAGGAGATGGAGACCATCACTGGGGCCTCCAGGTCGCGTAAGGCGTCCGCTATGGCCATTCAGGGCAGAGAACGCAGGTCGGAGTCTCCCAGGCAGCCACGTCTCAAAGGTTCCGAGGAGCCTACCCTGAAGCAGGAAGCCACCAGTGAGGAGGTCCTGTCGCCACCCTCCGACTCAGGGGGCCCAGATGGCTCCGTCACCTCATCCGAGGGCTCTAGTGGGAAGAGCAAAAAGAGGTCATCCCTCTTCTCTCCGCGCAGAAGCAAAAAAGAGAAGAAGCCCAAAGGGGAGAGCCGACCCCTGGAGAAACCCAACTCCAGCCTCCTGGAGGAGGTGGCTGCCAAGCCCAAGTCCTTGTGGAAGTCCGTCTTCTCTGGGTATAAGAAGGACAAGAAGAAGAAGAGCGACGAGAAGTCCTGCTCCAGCACGCCGTCCAGCGGAGCCACCGTGGACTCTGGCAGGCACAGGATGTCTCCGATGGTGAGAGCAGGTATGTCCATAGCCAAGCAGCCTCACAGCACAGGGCTTGAGTAGAGCGTCCTCTGGTGGTTTGGTTGTGCTCAGAGGACCCGTATTCCTGTACTGCTCCACCAAGGACTTCAGGAGCCAAAGCACAAGTGGCAGAGCATAGTACCCTTCCATAAAATGATGGATGCAAAAGCCAGATTGGAGGTGGGGAGGCGACACGATGTTGGTGCCCTTCCTGAAGTCACATTATGCTAATGGTGGGCCTGCTTTCAAGTGGGCAAAGCAGAACTGACGGGGTCGTGGGTGGGTGTCTGGAGGGTGCCATCTCTTTCCTGTTGGACCTGCCCCTCCGTGTGGGGACCAGGGTCAGTACCCACACTCACACCTCCCTACATGCCACGGGGGAGGCACATTACCCCAGCTGCTGTCCTCACGTGGCCTCTTTTCCCTCAGAGCTGCAGCTCCGACGCCAGCTGAGTTTCTCGGAGGACTCGGACCTCTCCAGTGACGATGTACTTGAGAGGACCTCCCAGAAGTCCAGGCGAGAGGTGTGTGGGTCCAGGGCCACACTGGGGGATTAGAGGGGCTGGAAATGGTTGGTCTCTAGTGAGAGAGATGACAGGAAGAGACAGTCTAAAACCAGACAGAGGATGTGTGCCTCCCGTACCCATCCTCCAGATGGCAGGATGCGGAGCCCAGCCCAGGGCCCAAGGACCGGCCACAGGAGGAGTCTCAGTTCAGGCCTTGCAACCAGTGTATGGGTCTATTTGCTTCTGGGGCAAGAGTTTTGGGGTCTGCTCCTGTGAAGAAGGCCAGAGTTTTCTGTGCTTGGCCTTTAGCTGTCCACTCTTTTTTCCCTCAGAAGTCCTCACGTGGAGTGGCATCTACCAGGTCCTGGTGACAGGAAATAGGTTTGCTAGACACCAGGATTATAGAGGAAGGGGACAGGGGTACAGGCATGCAAAGGAGGTGAAACCAGGTTTCTCTTTAGGCATAGGCCTGCTCTGCCCACCTGCTTGATAGATTTTTAATTAGAGGACTTTTTGCTATTAAAGAACTGAGACACACCTGTTGTCTTAGCTGTTCAAGAAGTTAGAACAGGAGAATGGCAAGTTGGAGCCCAACGTGGAACACTTACTGAGACCCTGTCTCAAAGATTTTTTAAGAAGGAAGCAGGTTTTGTAGTTCACTGCAGAGGCCCTGGGTTCATTGTCCTGCAGCCCCTTCCCCATATAAGAAAACCTGTTCCTATACCAGGTACAATGGCACCTGCCTGTAATTCCAGCTACTTGGGACACTGAGGCAGAAGGATTGTAAGTTCAAGGCCAGTCCTGGCAGCTTAGTAAGACTGTCTCAAAAAATAAAGGGTTGGGAATATAACTCAGCAGTAGTAAAGGCCACTGGGTGGAGACCCTAGTACCACAAAAAAACAAAACAAAACAAATCAAGTAGTTCCATAAGTTGGCCTAGATACATACTCAGTCTGGTGTGGGCTGGTCACTGCTGCAGGGCCTAGGAGCTGTGGCCACCCAGCTCTGCTGAGAAGCAAAGGTCTTCATGTGCACAGCTCCTTCACTGAGTCTTCCAGCCTCCCAGGGCTCCTGTTGCTTTGTGTAGAGACTGTCGTGTTGGAGGAGGAGAGGACCTGGAGAGCGTTCTAGTGGAACAGCTGCCTCTCAGTGACAGTGCTGGATGGGAATAGAGCTGGGCAGGCCTTAGCTGTAAAGTAGGAATGCCCCATGTGAGCTCTCCTGCCCTAGGGTTGGCCCCCTGCTGTGCAGGGTGGGGGGCCTCAGCTGCCCACTGTCTCCCTTTTTCCCACCTTCTTGAATGAGAAACTTTGCAGAACATGATAATAACCTTTTCGACAAAGCCTCCCTGGGCCTGGGCCAAGTGTACCCTCTTTATCCACAGCCTTAACTGTTAGTCAGCCTGCCTGCCCGCTGGCTGGGGAGAATCTGAGTGGTCTCTGTGCCCTGTGTGTGTCTGTCCATAAACATGGGTTGGGCAGCCTGTTTCTGGGTTCCTCTTTAATAACTTGGCAAACTGGAAAAAGCCAATCAGCCTATTTCTCATGGTCTGCGCATTCGTCTCCCTGATTGGGCCAGCTCTCTGTCCAGTGTCCTACAGACACCTGTCCTCCTGCTCCACCCACCTGCAGAGCCAGCCTCATGTGTGCACCCCTTGCTGCCACTCAGTGGTGATGTGGCCTCTCCCTCAGCCTGGGTTCAGGGTGCTGCCATCAAGATCCCTGCAGAGGTGTCTCGGTACCAACCAAGCAGTTGCTTCTAGATTTGCATGTGGTCCCTAAAAGCATTCCAACCCTGGGGACAGGTGCTGCCTTAGGGGACGTTAAGGGCCGTCTGTGAAGAAAAGAAAATGTAAGAGCCAGCCAAATATCTCAGCAGATTAAAGCACCTGCAAGCAGGATCAGGGGCCTGGGGTTCAATCCCTGGGCCTGCCATGACAGCCCCACTGAGACGGCAATTGAGACTGGGTATGGTGGCGAGCGCCTGTAATCCCAGCTCTTGGGAGGCTGTAAACAGGCGGATCACTAGAGTCCGATCTAGTAGTGAGACCCTGAACACCCTGTAGACTCTTCCCTAAAATACAAAAAAAAGGAAAGAAAGAAAGAAAAGGAGAATGTGGTCCAGCTTCCCTTTGCTTCTGAGCTGACCCACAGATGCTCAGACCACTTGTATCACGTAGGTCACATACTTCAATCTGCGGTCAGGTCTCCTCTGATGTCTTCACAAACGACTGAAACAGACTCCAAAATGCGAAGCAGCAGGCTGTCACCTAGGTTGTGCTGTAGCCATCGTCTCTGCATGACCTCTGCTGCCTGCAGCCTCTCCCAGGCCTCACTGGCACCAGGAGTATAGGAGCTGACTTCCCTGTCTGTGCAGAAGTCACAGGCAGGTCCCAGCTGTAGATTCTGAGAGACAGGGCCTTCAGGCCTTGCCAGCAAGGTGGGACCTGCACGGACAAGGCCGCTCACTGCTTCCCATATGGGACACGCCGAAGACAGCAGGGCCTGGCAGTGGCCGGCCTAGTTCTTCCTCCAGCATATGGAGGTGGTCAGAGGAGCCCAGGGCCTCTTGTGTCCACAAGACATGGAAGATGAACCAGACATGGAGCAAGACACAGAACATGAACCAGAATCGAAGCGGCCATAATGGACCCTTCTGAAGCAAGGAAATGCGAGTACTGAGTGTGATACGCTTTAAGAGTATCATTATCCAATCAGTACCAAGTTCACTGCAAGTGACAGAGGAGCTGTCATTTTGTAGGAAAATGTCTGTGTTCATGGGAAGAAGAACATGCTGAATTTATTAGGGATGGAAGTTCATGGGTCTACAGATGATTCAGAAACAGAAAAAGGAATACTGCATATAAAGATTATACGCAGCAGCCGGGTACTGCCACTCTGCCCCCCATACACCGGTATCCATGGTGGCCACAGGTGCCGACATCGTTGCCGTTCTTGAGGTGATAGTGATAGAGCTGTGTTTCTTTGTGTGTGTGTGTGTGTGTGTGTGTGTGTGTGTGTGTGTGTTGCTGGCAATTGAACCCAGGGCCTTCACACTGAAGTCTATCCCCAACCTATTTATTGTGAGACAGGGCCTCACTAAGTTATCCAGGCTGAGCCCATCTGGCAGTTTTCCTGCCTCAGCCTCACCCATTGTACTGGGATGACCAGGCATGCATGCCTCACCCAGCACTTTTCCTGCTTTGAACTGGCCTGCTCTGACAATGGAATGATTTCTCTCACTCCTTTGGGCGAGGGAAGCAGGATTTGCTCTTCCGCAGCCAGTACACCTGTGAAATGCAGGTTCCCACCACCCTGGCCCCCTGATGGGCCTTGCGTCCCTCCTGTGCTCTCAGTCTCCCTGTCTAGAGCCACCTCTCTGCCTTGCTTAACACGTGGCCAGTGCGAACACCAGAGAGGTGGGCGGCTGGCCCTGGTAACCTGGGCGGCTTACTGCAGAAGAGGGCATTTAGCACTAGTGCCTGAAATACTTTGGGCAAAGAGCAGTGACTCGTGTCATTTGAGCTCCCTTCCCTGACTACTGTCACTCCGTTGCCCACATCACTGTCACTGTTAAGAGACAGATGTGAGGCAGGCTTGTGTCCCTCTGTGTTTCACATCAAACCCCCCCCCCACTTGATGCTATCCCACCCCATAGATGTTGAGCGGCAGGAAGTGAGTGTGTTTCCACAGCAGAGGGCTGAAGGAGCGGGCTGCTGCAGGAACGCAGCCCCTGGGCTCACACATTATAGCCGTGAGTTCCACACAGTGGACGCAGGCAGAGGCTTTGTGGTGGTGAGGAAAAGTGTTGCTGTTTGGTGAGTAGGAAAGGAAACCCCAGATGTCTGATTCAAACCTGGGCTTCCACCAGGCCAGTAGCACCCACCTGTAATCCCAACCACTCGGGAGGCTGAGGCGTCACAGATTGAAGGCCATCTTGAGTAACTTATTGAGGCCCTGTCTAAAAATAAAAATAGCTGGGTGTGGTGGTGCACTCCCTGCGGCAGGGGGATCTCCATGAACTACAGGCTAGCCTGGGCCACATAGTGAGTTCAAGGCCAGGCTGAACTACATAGCGACCGTGTCCCAAGAAGCATACACACATACATACATAATAAAACTAATGAAAGGGACTAGAGTGTAACACAGTAGCTCCTGGGTTCAATCCCCAGTACTTGAAACAAAAAAGCAAAGCAAAGCAAGGTTCGTGAAGATGCAGCTGCGAGGGCCTGTCACTCAGGTTCGTCCCGTGCAATTCTATTACATTGTGCAAGAGAATGTGTTTAAGTCTCATGTATTTGTTTTAAACATCTAATTGATTTTACTCCATGTCTGTGTTCTGTTTTAATTTTTTAAGTCATCATTATCATTGCTGTTCTGTTTTGTTTTCTGTTGCCATCCCCTTAAAAGTCGATTTATGTACCACACGCCTTGGCGTTCAGGAGACCCCACTCATCAAAGGTAGCGTCCTGCCCCCCCCATTGGACCTCATTGCATGCCTGTCTGTGATTAACGCCGGAGCAGCGGGTCCTCACTAACTGTTCAAAAGTGCACGCAGCCGTAGCAACCAGACTTCCGGTAGCTGCATCCTGAGGGACAGGAAGCTGCTCTTCACTGGCTCGAGTGCATGTGGTCATTTTGCTGCAGTGCCCAGGTGGGGGGCAGAGACACCCCTCTGCGTCTGGGCACCCCAGTGAGGGTACTGCAGGGTAGGTCTGGCTGAGCCACTGGGGCACTGAATGCCGCGACAGTGCTGCCTGTACCTGTCCACTTGAGCTCTCAGTCGGCATGATGAGTCCTGAGCCCTGAGCTGAGTTGGGAACTCTGAAGTCTGGGAAAGTCTCCTTGTTTGGTTTTCTTAGAGACAGTAGTAAACAGATCAGAAGGCCAAGTTCCCACACACCCGGGCCAGACCAGCAGGGGGCACACTGGCTTCCATTCCCCCCACCTGCCCTGTGTTTGTTATGCTACTGCCAGGGGGCCTCTGGCCAGGCCACTTCCTTCCTGCCTCTCTGTGGCAGTGGCCGGTGCCCCTGCAGACCCCAGAGACAGGCAAGGGTCACTTTGCACACACTTCCTTCTTCAGCCTGCATCAGTTAGATTGGTATCGACCAGACAGAAATAGAAGCATCTTTGTTTTCTCTGCCTCAGATGTTAGTTCATAAAAGAAGTTTTTGAATCCCATCATCTGAAGAAAGTGGTTTTTGATACCAAACAAGAAAATAAATGGATCCTGATTTTTCCCCCTTCTTCTTTCTATTTGCCTCAGAAGCAGCGGGCTTAGGAAAGTTTTACACCAGCACTTTTATTCCAGGTGCAGGCTCCCTTAAGCAGAGAAATAAGTGTTCTGATTCATAGGAGACCAGAGTTCCTTCCTCATTTTAGCCTCCTGACCCTCAGGCCCATCAACCTCCCGTCCCTGTCACCAAGAGGAAGTGTCTCACCTTGGGGTCTCTAGGTATACCCTGGGGCATCTGGGCTCCTGCGGGGACAGGGGCCCGTGAGGTTTCAGGCTGAGCTGCAGCCGGGCACTCTGCACACGGTTCAGCTACTGCTGGCTGGGCACCATTTCTCACTTGGGACAGTCCTCCGTGCCCCTGCCGGCCTGACTGAGGAGATCTGTCTTGTTCCCTCCAGCCAAGGACCTACACAGAGGAGGAGCTGAATGCCAAGTTGACCCGGCGTGTGCAGAAGGCGGCTCGGAGGCAGGCCAAGCAAGAGGAGCTCAAGCGGCTGCACCGAGCCCAGGTATGGTCACAGGTGGTGGGACATGGCACTGGGAGGAAAGTCAAGGGGCTGCACCTTCCTGTGCACTGGGTGGCCTCATCCATGCTGAGGGATGGTGAAGAAGCCAAGCAAAGACCCTGTCACCAGAATCACTGCCGGATGCAGCTACAGGGGCCATAAGGAGTGGGCCTTCAGGAGTGCCCTAATCCCTCGGTCTACACCGGTCATTTTGAAGCCACTTATTGGCTTCCTCCTGAGCCTGAGGAAGCAGCAGTGTCCAGAGTCAGTTCTTAGCCTGCCAGCCTCGGGGGACCTGCACCATGTGGGGAGAGGTTGGAGCTGTCTGCAGTCATCAGCCTGCCTTCCACCTTACATCCTATGCTCTCAAAAATTCTTTGACTTGCAGAGAGAGGATTAGAAGAACCTTCTCACAGGTGTAGTAATCTTGTTCTAGAAAGGTCTGCGGTGATAATACCTAGATGTTTCCTGTGGGATTTTACACAGGAGTGGCTGGCCGTGTCCCACATCCATCCTCTGGGTGCTGATAGCAGCAGGCTGGAACCTGCTGTGGGGTCCAGTGCCGGTGATGTGCGGGTCACACTCCAAGGACGTGCCTTACCAGAGGCGCTGCTGATGTCTTCATACAGCTGTATGAAACTCTTCCTCTGAGTTTGTGCAGTGTGGTTTAGTTTTCTTCCCGAGAGCTCAAGAAAAGAGGAAGCTGGGTGCTTACACTGCTCTCTCATGGCAGATCATCCAGCGGCAGCTGGAGCAGGTGGAGGAGAAGCAGAGGCAGCTGGAGGAGAGAGGGGTCGCAGTGGAGAAGGCCCTCCGCGGAGAAGCAGGTACTGTCTGCGTTCTTTGTGAGAAGGTCTATTCCTAGGGAGAGCCCGCCTTCCCCGCCATGCTAGGCTAGTTGTGCACCACCACATCCAAATTCAGCTCGCTCTCCAGCAGGGTTTTCTGGAGTTTCCTGTTAAACACAGAAAAGTGCTTGCATTTGGGACGGCCCTGTCACATGTGGCTAGGGAGCTCTGCTCTCCAATTCCTCCTCCTCCTCCCACACCCATCCTTTTCTCTATGAGAAAATTCCTGGAATGAGGGAGATTGTCCCACAAGGAACCATCACAGAACAGCGGCAAGCAGGTCTCCTCCTCCCCTTGGTTCCTGGGTCCTCACCCAAGTTGCATCCTCCACAGAGCCCACACTGTCTCCTGCAGGGGACCCTGAGTCCGCCCCTAGCGCTCATGGACTATCAGGGTGAGCCCAGGATCAGTACCCCCTAATGGCCATGCCCTCGGAGCGTGGTTGCAGAGGCCAGAAGGACTGTGATGGGCCAGCGCAGGGCAGACAAGGGAAGCTGCTGGGAGGGGGTGGCCTCCATTGTGGCAAAGAGGCCAGCAAGTGCAGTGTCGCTGTTCCTGGGGACCTGTGTGTTTGGGCTCAACGCAGAGCAGGAAAGGGAGTACCGAGTCATCTCAGGGTGCAGCCCGGGGAGCCCTGCTGGTTCCAGACCTTCAGCCACGGGCCAAGCCCACCCTCAGACGTGGAGAGACAGATACTTGTTCAGAAGCATCCAGAGCCTTGTCCAGTCTCTGGATTAGAAACCTCTATCTCTTTATAGAGCATGAGGCCTACAGCTCAGCATTCAGCCTGAAAGGTTGGGATGGAGGGTGGAGCAGTGCTGTGAGGGCAGAAGGCAGCTGGCGCTGATCTCAGGGCTGGCAGGCTCTGTGGACCTGGAGAGGAACCAGCAAGGGACGGCCTAGCAGAGCTGCGTGCTCTTGCTGCCCCGCTGACCGATGGGTGGGCCTCACGGTGTGCACCTGAGCTGAGGTGGCATCATCTGGACGTGTAGGTTGGATGTCCATGTCATACAAAATGGGATCAGGCACAGCAGTAGGTCTCCTTTTTCAGGCCCAGACATGACCTTTGGGTGAAGGGAGGGGCAGGGGAGGAAGATGAGGGTGTGGATGTTCTTGGTTTTGTGGTGTTGGACTTAACCCTTGAGGCCCAGGCCGCCAGGGGACATGCATAAACCTTAGCCATTTGGTATACAGCAAGCGAGAAAGACCCAGATGTATTGCTGCGAGGCAAGAGCTGCCTCCTCTGCCAAGGCGTGGAGACCCACGTCCAGCTAAAAGGACCTCCAGCTCCCCAGAGAACTTGTGCTGTCCCTCACTAGCCTGCGGGCTTCCTTTTCCTGCTCCACATGCTTGGCCCGACCCCTAGGAGTTCACCCTCCAGGACACCCTGTACCCAGGTGCAGCAGACCATGGGCCTGCTCATCTAGCTTTTCTCTTCTTCAGAGAATGCCAGGAGGAGCCCTAAATCCATCATCTCATTGTTTCTTAAGCCTCCTGCACAAGTCACTTCTGCTGTGTCAGGTCTTGCCGTGCACAGAACAACTCCGTAGGTCTATGCATCCGCAGTGGGTTCGAGTCCCCCAAAGGAGGAGGAGGAACCGCCCCTCATTGCTCACAACCCTCTGAGGTTCACGAGTTGCCGTTGGGTTTCTTGTCTTCTGTGATGCACTTGAATGCTCATCACTAGCTGCTGTGAAGCTGGAGTCTGCGACAGTACTTCAGCACCTGTGTAAGAGAAGCTTGTCACTTCCATTGCCACCAGCAGGTCAGGAAACAATGCTACTGAAGCTTGGCCGAGGACGGCCGTGAGTGTAGCTGACGGTGCGTTCAGCCCAGCATAGGCAAGACACTGGGTTCCATTCCTGTGTGCCCCCCAGGCCCCAGGCCCCCTAAAAAAAATTGGCAGAGGATTCTAACCAAAATTACATTTTCATAAATAAGTCCAACCTTAATAAGTCAGTGGTTTTCAAACTTTTTAGTAGCAGAGACCTTCTTACAGAATTAAATTCAATAAAGAAGAAGTACTCCCCCACACACAAACTTTAAAACACAGGATATGGGGGGCCGAGGAGATGGCTCAGTGGAATAAGTGCTTCCCTGGCAAGCACAAGGGCCTGAGTTCAATCCCTGGTTCCGAAAAAAACAAAACCACAGGATATGGTGGAAAGCTATTGACATTAGGCTCAGCATCCAACTCATTCCTGGGCCATGTTCATTCTTAACAACCCACCTGAAAACTCTAGCTCGTGTTAAATGCCATAGATGCAGGGAGCCTAAAAATAAAACCGTAGCTTTTTCCCCTCAATTGGCTCACTGACAAATGCAGCAGTTGTTTATATTCCTTTTAAAGAACCAGTCTCAGACAAGAAGCTGCCACAGAGACTAAACTGAACAACACAGCTGCACCATGTCATGACAAAGGTGGTGTTGGCCTGGGGATCACATGGATAGGTGCTGCTCGGAGGGCCACAGCTCTGCTCCCTGGTCGCTGTGCCTGAGGCCAGGATTTTTTAGAGTTCTGAGCTAGTACACAGAGAGCAGAAGAAACTTGGTTCCCAGCATCTCGTAAAAGCAGGCTTACCTGGCAGCACAAATAAATGCACTGGCCTTTGGGTGGGTTAAAAGTTGTCAAGCACTTGAATGTGACATGTCTTATTCAGGTTTTTAAGGACAAAAGTATTTGTAAATCGGGAGTTCAAGAGACTCCTTTTGAGGACCTGCAGTGTTGCACAGAAGATTGACAACGCCTGTTCTGGTGCGGCTTCTTCCTGTAGGCAAGTTTTTGCCAAAGGATAGAAAGCCGAGTTTGCTGTGTTTCTAAATACGCTTGTGGTAGCCTGTGGTAGATACCCTGTTATTTCCCTATAATGCATTTGGGAAATTCTCGGGACGTAATAATGCCTCCTCCTATGTTAAGAATTCATTTCCTAAACAATTTTTTTTTTTTTTTTTTTTTTTTTGAGACAGGATCTCACAAAATTGCTCTGGTGAGACCCAAACTTACAGTCCTCCTGCCTTAGCCTCCCTTAGTGTTGGGATGACAGGCAGCACCATCTTTGAGGTTAAGTGTGTACATCGGATGCTCCTTTCTCCTTTCTGCCCCCTGCTCCTCTTGTTAGGTTCACTGTGCCTAGCTGGGCCCTGAAGAAGAGTCTTTGCTGGGCATGAAACCTGGGGTCTTCTGGCAAGGCCCACCAGCCCCGTGGCCGAGCTGGCTGGAACCTGCCATCAGTCTCACTTGATGATTGCAGGTTTCTGTCACCATCTGGGGCCTAGACTGTGTCCGTTGCAGATGCTCAGCGTCTGCCAGAGACACAGTCTGATAGGAACCTGTCAAGCTTATTATTCGCTGTTTGTCAAGGGCTTCTATACCTCCAAACCTCAAGGATTAGCTTTAGATCCCACGGCAAGACCAAGGTGTAGGTGATTTCTGGTCCTAGAACACCTGAGAAGCTTTTTTTCTTTCTGAAGCCATCTAATTCGAATTCAAAAGTCCCAGTTCAGCTTTGAGCAGCAGCCATAAAGCCATGGCAGGTCTGCATTCCATTCCATCACGTGTCCGTTCTTGAAGGGGAAGCCCTCATGCTGAACCAAAAGCTGTCTGGACCAGTGCTCAGAGCCTGAGGCTTGGAGAGAGGGCGGTGAGCTGCTAAGTTGCTTTGTGTTTTGTACGTCTTTGCGGTTTTGGGAGAGGACAGCCTGCTCCAGCCCTGGCCCAGGCCCAGGCACAGGCAGGAGAAGCCTGGAGCTTTCTCTGCTGAGCAGCTGAGGACTGAGGTCTGGGAGGGCCTGCAGCAGATCTCCGTGAGCCTCGGAGGCACAGGTAGGGCTGAGAGCTCTGCGCAGGCCCCACTTGCCTGCTTTTTCTAGCAGGACTGGCCAAAGCCAGGGCCTGCACCTCAGAAGACACAGCCATGTTCAGCAGGCTGGCTCTGCAAGGAACGTGCAGTGGGCACCAGCAGGACCCACGCATGCGTTCTGGGAGCTCGGCGCCTGCGCTTAAACCTAAGGATTGGGAGCCGGGCGTGGTAGTACACACCTAGCACTCCCAGCAGTTAGGAAGCTGAGGCAAAAGGATTGTTGTGAGTTTGAGGCCAGCCTGGACTACATAGCAAGACCCTGTCTCACCTAAGGATTAGGATGTTCATGTCTTAGACCTTCAGTCTGTGGCTTCTGATATTCAGAAACTAAGAAAGCAAGTAGCTCCTGATCTGCCCTTGAACTTTCTTACATGCTCACGCAGGTAAGGCTGAGTCCAGCAGGGTTGGAGTTCCCAGCAGTGCCGGTCTCTGACTCAGTGGCCCAAGGTTCCAATAGGGGCTTATGGCACTGGAAGTCAACTTGGTCCCCTGCTTTCCAGTTAATCCCTCTCACAGAGACGTCCATGCTAGCCAGTGTCACGCTCACAGACGCACGCGCACGCTTCCCAGCTTCCTCTTTGCCCTCTTGCTGTGTCTCTGCACATTTCTTAGGCACCATTTCATTGATGGCCTCGGGCATTGGGGAGCAGCAGGGTCGTCTGATCAATAACTCTGCACCAATTCCTTGTTGTAGACTATTGGGGAGAGTCTTATTACAGTGACCTCATCGACTTGCACCTGGGTGGTATGTATGGCAGCAGCCCCCGCTGGCACCCTGTCCCTCCCCTGTTCCCATCCTCCCTCCCTCCTTCCCAGCCCCTGCTCACAACAACAAGGAGAAATCTACCTGATAACCAGATGGCGAAAGCAAAAACCCTTTTCCAGACCCAGTGGTAGAGCACTTGCCTAGAATGCCTAAGGCCCTGGGTTCAAAGCCCAGCATTAAAATATAAAAAACAACACATTAGAACTTCTCTGCTACCCTGTACTCCAGAGGGAAGAACAAAATAAATTACTGCCAGGGTTTTTCTGATTTCTTTTTTAGTAAAGATTTATAGCCGGGGGACTGGGGAGATGGCTCAGTGGAATAAGCGCTACCCTGGCAAGCACAAGGGCCTG